AAAAGAGATCTTGAAAAGTGGAAGAATATCCCTTGCTCATGGATAGGAAGACTCAATGTTGTGAAAATGGCAATACTACCAAAAGCAATTTACACATTTAGTGCAACCCCAATACAAATACCAATCCCATTCTTCAACAAGATGGAAAAGGCAATCTCCAATTTCGTATGGAATGGGGGAAAGCCCCGAATAAGCAAAGCACTCCTTAAGAATAGAAGAACAGTAGGAGGTATTTCACTCCCTGATTTCATTGTAGTTTTGATTGCATCTTTCTTATTGCCAGTGATTTTGAGCATATTTTCATGTGTCTAGAGTCTATGCAAATATCTTCCTCGGTGAAGTGTTTTCCATTGGCTGAATTTTGAAGTAGACAGCCAGGCTTTTCTTTCTAGTTTGTGTTAATCTGAAAGTTCGGCATCACAGCAACACACAAGCCTCCACTGTATGTGAGGTGCATTATCTGGTACATGAGCCCAGGTCTTCCTCATCTCTACCTCCGTATAAAGCAATCTAATAAAGTACAAGAGTAGATGTATCCCGATGGCTTCCAAATTGTGACCTTTGTGGAAGCAGACTATCACATCTTTCTCTAGTGGAGTAGCTGGTGTGTTTGAATCACTCACTTTTTGGTTAGTAGCTGAGCGCTTAATCCTCTAAAAGAGGCCCAATTTCTTCTCTACACCAACCAAAGATATATTTGTTATTTCTGGGATTTCTGGGGTATAGGAGCTTGGGAAATCCCCTCACAATCTCTCATCTCATCCCTTCATCATGGCATAACACCCCCACTAATATGAGTGTCTGACTGCTACAACATGACACGGAGTACAATGGATATTGGGACCCTTGCTTCCTCCAGCCTCATTGTGTCACATGTATGCTGTGCCCCAGGGAGAAATAGAGGGACCTGTGTCCCTTACTTAGTCACAGTGTTAGCATGCAGTCCTTATGCAGTTTTGCATGCGCCCTCATGCAGACAACAGACAACAGCTTCTTTTGCCTTTTCCTTGTCCTCTCCACAGGACTTAAATTGCTTACCCCTGAGACCTGGCAGGCTTCTCCTACACTCCCTTTGCAACAATAAAAGCTCTCAAGCAAATCGACTTATGACAAGGGCTGGCCTGGAGGCTTTTCCAGCAGTTGGTTAAACAAACATCAAGGTAACGGAAATTCAGTGGGGCAAGCAGTCTAATGCTCAAACTGCAATCCTTACAGTAAAAACCATGTCTATCAAGGGCCAGGACATGGTGGTGGCTGTGAGTTTGATCTGTTAGGATTTATGTCTTAAGAACACTGGTAAAGAATAGTATTGGGCTGTCTGGCACATGCTCATAGGAGGCAACTGGACTCCATTTTTATTGATGCTGCTCTTTTGCAGCAATGAGTCATCCAGATTTCTCAAATTTCCCTCATCCAGACCTACAGTTAGCAATTCAGAGTGCTGTAGGAAGAATCCTGTGTTCAAGCAGCAGATGATCACACAGAGTTCAAAATGGCTCCCACTGAAAATCAGAGGCTAAATTAAGACCTTCGCCAGGAAAGTGATCCTTTCTTCTCTTGTGCTTCTGTGCTCTATTCTTTCCCTTCTTGTGCAGGTACTGAGTGATGCTGTCGGCAGAACACTCAGAATTCCATCTCAGTGTGTCACTCCACAGCACAGGCACTCTAGTCTGGCTCATCCCTGGTTTGTCACATGGTCGGTGGGGTTCCAAACAAAAGGTTTTGTCCAGGTGATACATTTGTCCTTCCTGAGGAAGAGGTGTCTGCTCTTCTTAGTGTGGTTTGTTCATGTAAACCTGAAGCTTCAAAAATACTCCACATAGACTTTAAAGGGTTAAAAGCTAAAAGCCCGCTAAAGAGAAATATTCCCACCAAAGTGTATCCTAAGATCAGGATTTAGGTGCAAGTAGGAGTCCTTGACTGGTGCAAATGGCTCACACACTTGATTGTTAACCAAAAGGTTGGAGATTTAAGGAGTGCCAGGAAACAAAGGCTTGGGGATCCACTTCCAAAACAGCCATTCAAAGTCCTGTGGAGAGCCGCCACACTCTGATACACTTGGTTAACATGAATCAAAATTAACTCTATGGCAGTTGGTTTGGGTTTTAGTTTGTTTGGAGAATGGTCTTGAGAAGTACTGTAGGGGAGTATGGAAGTGAGACCTGGAAGGGGGGAGGGATGATAACATAAAATTTAATGAGAGTTCATGCTGGGAAGCCAGGTTCAACTCTCCTGGAAAATTTCTGAGGGACTATGAACACACTTCACATTCCCTCACTAAGGGTGACAAGGGGAATTATCTAAAATAAGGGATGGGTTTAGCTTGGATGTAGTGGATTACAGTAGGAGAGGAAGGCTCTCAACCAGGTTGATTCACACGGTGACTACTGTAATGGGCTTTTGTGTGTCAGAAAGTGTGAGAAAGGCACAAAATAGAACAAAGTTCAGATCTTTTGTTCGTAGGGTTTTTATGAGTCATACTCAACTTGACAGCCCCTAACAACAACAATAGTGGATTATATGTTGGACCGCTAACCAAAAGTTTGACAGTTCATATCTACAAGCTGCTTCTGTGGGAAGTGCAAGGCAACGTTTTTTTTGTTGATCTACAGTTTTGGTGTGCAGTGGGTGAAAGCCCCATGTGCGGTCTGAGTATACTCTTCTAGCCATTAAAAAAATAATCTTGGGGGGAGCGGTGCCGGAAGTACTCGGGGAGGGCCTCGCAGTCGGACCGGCTGCTGAGACGAACGCTTCAGTTGGGCAGTCTCCGCATATCGTGGGGAGATAGACGCTACTGCCTTTGATTGGCCTTGGCCCTCACAGCTCTAAAAAGAAACAGGATCTTGATAAACTCTATGAGCTGAAGTCCAAAGCACGGCAGATTATGAACCAGTTTGGCCCCTCAGCCCTAATCAACCTCTCCAATTTCTCATCTATAAAACCGGAACCAGCCAGCACCCCTCCACAAGGCTCCATGGCCAATAGCACTACTGTGGTAAAGATACCAGGCACTCCTGGCACAGGAGGTCGACTCAGTCCTGAAAACAACCAGGTATTAACGAAGAAGAAATTGCAAGACTTGGTAAGAGAAGTGGATCCCAATGAACAGTTGAATGAAGATGTAGAGGAGATGCTGCTACAGATTGCTGATGATTTCATTGAGAATGTGGTGACAGCAGCCTGCCAGCTTGCCAGGCATCGCAAGTCCAGCACCCTAGAGGTGAAAGATGTCCAGTTGCACCTAGAGCGCCAGTGGAACATGTGGATCCCAGGTTTTGGCTCAGAAGAAATTCGACCCTACAAAAAAGCTTGCACCACAGAAGCTCACAAACAGAGAATGGCATTGATCCGGAAAACAACCAAGAAATAACATACGGAGAGGTCGGGAAATGGACAACAGTGCATTTGGAATTTGGAGATACTTGAGCTGAGGCCTCAGCCATCTCATCCGTGGAGTTTTTTTTTTTAATGCTTTACAGAGAAGCATATATTTTTTATTAACAGTGCAGCAATATCTATAATGACTGAGAGGATCTGCCAAAAGAATAAAGCCTCCTACCCCCCCAAAAAAATCTTGAAAAAAAAATCTTCAGCAATGTTTTGTTTGCAGAGGAAGATGCAAGATAGCTGACCAGAGCATTCTGTGGAGTTTGCCACCTCACAACTGGCCTTAGGACCACCTTGGTTTGAATGCTTGTTCTGCTGCCTTTATTACTTTTTCAACCTTGAGTGGGTCTGTTCACCAGTCTGCAAGCCCCTTCTCCAGTTGTGGAAGGGGTAAATAATGATACCCACTTCAAGTTACAATTAGATCACTTGGCAGAGAGGAAGGGGACAATGATGGTGGCACTTGAGCTAGAAGTACTGTCCATGGCTGCAGTCCCTGACAGGGAACAAGGTGTGGACCTCAAAAAAGCTTTGGGTGTGGGGGGGGAGAGGGTGCCTGGCCCTTGTGAAGTGTCACCCGGCCCCTGGGGAAAGCCACCTGGTGTATATGAGGAACTTTATCTAAGCCACTTTCCTCCATCTCCTCCTCCAGTACACCTGCAAGTAATACATCCAAAGCCCTTTTCCTTGTAACTCACAAGGATGTTCTCTCTAGGTTTGCTCCCTTTCCAACAGGTAACCTGAACACTGCGTCCTCTACCAGAACCTGAACTCTGAGCCTTGTTCTAGAGATATAAGGGATGTATAACTGCCAGCTAAAGAAGTAAAGGTAGATGGAGCCTCAAAATTCAGCCAGGCACTTCAACTGGACTCACTCATGCAAACTCCTTACAGTCCAGAGGGCAGAAAATATTGTGAAAGTGTCTTCTAACTGAAGAAGAAGGCATGCAGCTTCAAGTCAGGACCACCAGTAAAGTGTTAAAGTGGGCTCCCCTTCCCTTCATCTCAATGCCCCTGTTTAGCCTGAAATAGTCAGAGAGTCTGGGTCCCTATTCCCAGTTGGAAAATCCACAAATGAATAAGTCAATCTTCTTATTAAAAAAAAAATAATCACCATTAAACTATGCCCACCATTACCTTGTCTTTTCTGGTCCCTGCCATATCTTTCTCATTTCCTTTACACACTCCCTCTACCCACCAAATTGTACAACCCTGTGGTTTCATCCCTACCCATCCTCTCCTTTTGGCTCCCAACCCTTACCCCCTTGGATCTCCATACATGCTTTTTGCAATTAAAAAAAATTTAGCTTTTTGGAGAAACCTGTTGGAGGGTAATTGTTGAACTGGAATTCTCTTGATGGCAGTGATTTTTTTTTAGAAGGTGGAACATGGCCTTGAAATCATGTCAAGGGAACAAGTATAACTCCATCGTCACTCCTTTCTAATAGTATTTAAATTTTAACCCATTTGTAAGAATATTCTGTTTAATTATTTTTACCCACAAATGGCTGATAGTTGGCTGGTTCTCAGAAAAACACCCTTACCCCCTTGGATCTCCATACATGCTTTTTGCAATTAAAAAAAATTTAGCTTTTTGGAGAAACCTGTTGGAGGGTAATTGTTGAACTGGAATTCTCTTGATGGCAGTGATTTTTTTTTAGAAGGTGGAACATGGCCTTGAAATCATGTCAAGGGAACAAGTATAACTCCATCGTCACTCCTTTCTAATAGTATTTAAATTTTAACCCATTTGTAAGAATATTCTGTTTAATTATTTTTACCCACAAATGGCTGATAGTTGGCTGGTTCTCAGAAAAACACCCTAAATTCATTTTTGTCCAACCACATACCTGTAATGTACCAACATGAAAGAAAGACTTGCTCCTGAAATAAACCACCTTCAGCTTCTTGGTCAACCACATACCAATGATGAGAGCCCCACCCACATGTCCTGTGGCTTCTACAATCCTTGATACTTGGTGCCTTGGTTGCAATGACTAGTCTAATTTTGTAAGATTTGCTACCTCCCCAGCTGATTGTGTTCTCAATAAATCACTCTATAATAAAAAGTTCCAGAAGCTGCATTTTACTCTTTAGGCAAGGAAGTTGTGCATTCATCCAATTGCCTTTTGTGAATAAGTCACACATGCCTTAATGGCCAGAGAATACCATTAGAGAGATGTTAGAAGCTTTCAGCCATATGAGACTTCTAGGACCTCCAGGTTGGACAGATGGAATATGAGGGGGCACCACCAGCTTGTGATACAGGATCTGTCCTTCCTTTTTTGCTTCTGTAGTATCTAGAAAGTACCTGATACCTAAAAGGTATTCAACAGGCATTAGACATTGTGAGGGTGGTGCAAGAAAGGGCAAGGCTTCAATTTGTTGTCATTAGGTACCATGACTCAAGGACACCTAACAACACCAACAACAGAACAGATGAAGAAAAGCACACTTACAGAAATAAAAGATAAAGGATTCATCAAATGATTTTCAATTATGAAAAAAAGGGCCTGTATATGTATAAGTGAACCCTAAAAACAAACCACTCGACAGGAACAAAATGGCTACCCTAGATAAACATTAAACTCCAATAAGAAATCAAATTACAGCATTTCTTAAAACGGCTTCTATTTTTAAGAGACAATGCAGCTTCTTGTAAAAGCACAGGGATCTAGGAGTAAAATCAAAGACTATAAAATTCATTAAAAAAAAAAAACTAGGAACAACTCTAGAAGCCCTAAGCAAGAACAGGCTTCCAAGCATAAAGAAAAATCTACAACCAGGAGAGAATGAAATAGATGAATGGGATCTTCTAAGAAACAAACCCACATGTACATAAAAAATTTCTTCAACAGAGTAAAAAGAAAATCCACAGACTGGGAAAAAGATTTGACAGTTACATATCTGGTAAGAGACTCACATTTAAAATTTATAGAATACTTTAGCATCTCAACAAGAAAAAGGTAAACAATTCAATTGTAAAATGGACATAGGATGCCCAAGGAATGCATTCAGATGGCATGAACTAAAGAAGACATTCAGAGGGCAGACAGAAACACATGAAGAAATGTTCAAAATCCCTAGCTATCAGAGAGGTGCAAATCAAGACAGCTATGAGATATCACCTCACACTAAAAATAGCAAAGTTCAACAGGGCAGCAAACAAAAATGCTGGTGAGGTTGTGGAGAGAGTGGAACTCGAATTCACTGCTGGTTGTTATGTACCATCGAGTCAGGACTGACCCGTAGCTGACCCTCCAGCAGGTTTTCAGAGGCAGATAATCACATGAAAGGAGATTGTCCATTTTCCTCTGGAGCAGCTGGTGAATTCGAACTGTGTGTCTTCAGAATTACAGTGAAGATTCTTACCATTAGGCCACCAGAGCTGGTGGGAATAAAATAGACTACTATGTAAAACGGTCTGACACTTAATAAAAAAAAATTTAGAAATAGAGTACCATTTGACCCAGCAATTTCCACTCTTGGATATACACAAAAGACACCATAGTGACAACACAAACAGATGTATGCACACTCATTTTTTTTGCTGCTTTACTCAGAATGGAAGCGGCGTGTACGCAGCTCGGTGGTTTCTCCAGCCGTTCAGCCATCCGCTGCCAGGCTGCGCGTCGCCTGAGCCTCTGTGTTCCTTGCCGCCTCGTCGCCTGTGGCCACCGCACACCTTTCCGTAACAAAGCACACACATCATGACGAAGAAAGACAAGAAGTCCTTCAACCAGAGCCTGGCCGAGTGGAAGCTCTTCATCTATAACCCCAACACCGGACAGTTCCTAGGGTGCACCTAGAGTTGGAGTTTGATCTTGCTCTTCTACCTAGTCTTCAATGGCTTCTTGGCTGCTCTCTTCACATTCACAATGTGGGTCATGCTCCAGACACTGAATGATGAATTTCCCAAATACCGCAACCAGATTCCCAGTCCAGGACTTAAGGTTTTTCCAAAACCAGTGAGCGCCTTGGAATATTCATTCAGTGTGTCTGACGCACATTACTATGAAGGATACGTTAAAGACCTTGACCATTTTCTACCAGAAGAACAGAAGAACCTCACAGCGTGTCCTGAAGGAATACTTTTTGAACAAAAGGGCCCTGTTTATTCTGCACGTCAGTTTTCTCTGGATTTATTTAAAGACTGCAGTGGCTTGATTGATCCTAACTATGGCTATTCCAAAGGAAACCCTTGTGTTCTTGTGAAAATGAACCGAATAATTGGATTAAAGCCTAAAGGAGAACTGAAGATAGTATGCACTTTAAAGAATGAACAGATGGCACATGTATTAACATACCCTTCCGCAGGAAATATAGACTTAAAATATTTTCCATATTATGGGGGAAAATTACATGTGGGGTATCTGCAGCCAATTGTTGCAGTCCAGGCATTCTTTGGTCCTCTTAACGTTATCAAGAAAGAAAACACATTTGACTGCAAGATTGAGGGAGCATCCAACCTGAAAAACCAGAATGATCGTGACAAATTCTTAGGACGGGTTACATTCAAAATCACAGTGAATGCATAGTCCGAGTAGGATGTCTGTACAGAGTAAATGTGTCCCCACTTTGCATCAGCTGGACCTGCCATTCTAGAATTATGAGACCACCTTGGAGAAAGGTGGGTGGTACGTGACACTGGGATGACACCTTCATGTGCTTCCAGATCGTACTGTCCGATGTCCTCTGAAATAACTGCCTGTTACCTCTGCTGCCCTTTGAACCAGTGTACAGACGCCGTATTAGGGGCAGGGAAACACCTGATCAGGATCAGTATGATGGGGGTCTTTTCCTCTTTTTGTGTGGGTTAACTGCCAAGTGTCTAAAGCTTAAAGCGCTGTGCTGTGTAAATATTGTATGGATTTAACGCTGGTTAACTGTCCTTTGATGCCAACACAATTTTTAGGGATAAAATGATAAAAGAATATTTGGGGTGGGGGTTGGGGTTGGGCGATGTCTCTCATTGTACCAATGAGGGAGTTTTTATTTTGCTTTTCAAGGAGAGGAGCAAACGGGGGTGGGGGGGGGGTGGGCAGGGAGAAGGGTAGAACAATGAATGAATGGAATTCCAAAATCTATGTAGATGTTCATTGAAATGAAAGATAGATAAATAAATTAATTAATAAAAAAGAGAAAAAAATTATAAAAGAAATTGTACTTGACCAA